GCGGGCTTCCGCAGCGGTTGTCACGTTCATAATCACACCACCCTTGCTGCATCTGGGCGAGCCCGGCCTTGACGGTAAAGTCATCGTTGGCACTGCCGTTTGGTGTCGGGGTGAAGGTTGGTGGCCATTTTGCTTTTTTGATTTTTTTTCTTCTTTCCAAGAGTTGTTACCGAGGTTCAAAGAAAGTTGAAGTGAGGTTCTTGTTCGGAGAGTTTGGTAGAGAGATTGAGTACGGTAAACAGGGACAAGGTAGGCTCCAAAACAATGGAGGTAATGAGACTAGGAATAACGATCCTCTCGAAAGTTTGACGGCTCAAGAATCCACTTTTTAAAGAGCACGTTGCGTGAGTCAGTCCAACCGTGACCCCTCGATGACCACCTGGGTGGGATAAGAGGAGACAAGAAACGGCACAGTGTTGGTGCACTGTCAAGATTCTGGAACCTCCCGGCATTCTCAAATTCCCTTGCACGTGCCCCGCCCCTCCGAATCGGAAGCTTGACCAGGAACGGCGGGACTTGGCAGGCCCTGCAAGAGCGGTTTCCCGAAACCCCCGCGAGCCGATGGCGGGGCTCCAGATTGCGCGATTGGGGTGGACTTTCCAAACCGTTGAGCGATTCTCTAAACTTTTCGTGGGGTTCATCTCTTTTTGCCCACCCGCTAACATCAATTGAGATATCAGACGCAATTACAAAACCAGCCTTCTTAATTGACTATGATTGTGCAACCTGACGCCCTTCCGGAAACCGCAACAGTCAGACGCATGTGGAGATGTCTCACCGTGGGGCGATCTCGAAAACCCTTGATGGTGCTGCTGACAGTGCTAACGAGCGAACTTTATTTCCACCGCCGCTGCAACGTCAAGGGTAGAGCACAGTGCCGTTTACCAGCGGGGGAAACGCGTGTTTTTTTTTCTTCTCTCCCACTCGCCTGCCCCTCTGGGCGTGCCGATGTCGTCGGGAAGTCAATTGAGTGGCGAGGCATTTTAATTCAATTGGTCATTGTGCCGCCCTTAACCGCCACATTCCGCATGTCCCTTCTCACTCTGTGACCTTGACGACCGCGTCGATTAGGTAGTACCCAGTTTGACAGGCGTGTGACTCGATAGCAGGTGACAGCGCCGAGTCTTGAGATACCTCGATACCCCCACACGGGCAACCGGAGTCGAGAGAGACACTCCTATTCAGCATCATACAGTGGGCAGACTTGACCTCCCAGTTTGTTTTTCTCACGTTTCCGATCCCAACCACAAGCCCCCGAAAACCCCCCAAAACACCATGACCAAAGCCCAAATCATCACCGTCGGCGTGCTCGCCCTCCAAGGCGGCGTGGTCGAGCACCTCAACCTCCTCCGCAAGGCCACCTCCCACGTGCAGTCCCCCGACAGTATCCGCTTCACTTTCACCGAAGTGCGCACGGCACCCCAACTCGCCCAATGCGACGCTCTGATCATCCCCGGCGGCGAGTCCACCACAATGGCCATCGTGGCCCGCCGGCTGGGGCTGCTCGACCCGCTGCGGGAGTTTGTGAAGTGCGTGGCCCTCCGGACTTCCTTACCTATCTTCTCCGTTTTGTCTGAAAAAACATACTGACTCCATAAAACAGGGTGCAACACAAACCAGTCTGGGGCACCTGCGCGGGGTTAGTGATGCTCGCCGAGCAGGCGGCCGCGACCAAGCAGGGCGGGCAGGAACAGATTGGGGGTCTGGACGTGAGGGTGTTGCGGAACCGGTATGGCACGCAGATGCAGAGCTTTGTGGCCGGGCTGGACTTGGGTTCGATTCTTGGGGAGGACGCGGCGCCATTTAGGGCGGTGTTTATTCGCGCGCCCGTGGTGGAGGAAGTTATCGCGGAGGCGGGTTCGCAAAAGCAGGGGCATAGGGTTGAGGTGTTGGGGCTTTGTCGGGGGCCCGGGGGGCAGGTTGAGGGCGAGGGGAAGGGGGATATTGTGGCGGTGAGGCAGGGGAATGTGTTTGGGACGAGCTTCCACCCGGAATTGACGGATGATGTGAGGATACATGTATGGTGGTTGGAGCAGGTGGCGGATGCGGTTAGGCATGGGAAGTTGGTTGTTGAAGGCGTTTAAGGCGCTAGTAGATGGGTAGGTTTGGGACCGGATAGATTAGAATCATAGATGCTACTTGTGGGGTTCATTCAACACCATGCCGGCGTGGGTACATGTACGAAGACCCTGGCGAGCTAGACGCGGTAATGCTCAAGTCATGCAGTTTCCCCGGTGCTGATATCGTAACTGACATACACAAACAAGGTGAGAGATAGATAAGAAAGATACTGTCGGCCCGGCCACAGCAGAGCACTCAGAACACCCAACCCGTTCACAACTTCACGCCCCCGCCATCCTCGCCACCCTCGTCATCATCCTCCTCGTCCTCCTCGATAATCCTCCGAGCCCTAGGGGTCGTCTCGCGCGACTCATCGCTCCAAGCCCTCATAGAAGACGTATCCAGATTGACCTGCCCCATAGTAGACGCCATATCA